TGTGGTTTGCTGATGTAAATTAACAAAATTTTAATATTGTTAGTAACTAAAAGGACTGGTTTACAAACTTATTTTTACTAGTAAATCTTGCATGTACTTAACATACATGTATATGTGATTTTGCTTTTTATCGTGCTTCTTAAGCTTTTGTAGTTTCCATTCACACAATTTTACAAGCACAAATTCATTTTAGTTAACTCCAAATTTCCCTGACGTTTTGGTCAAACCAAAACCTACACCACAGAATAACTGTAACTTTAAAAGGCAAAGGGTACTCGAGAAACAAGTGCTACAAAGCATATGCCATGCAGTGCTTCCTCAAAGAAAAAAAGTTTGAAAGGGAAAAAAGAATTAACTCAGATCAGAAAGATATGGATGTTTTGCTTTTAAAAGTAAAATATAATCATTATAGTACATATTTTTTATGCTAAGTGAGGGCCACTTATTTGAGAGTTATACCTATAAAAATCCAATGATCATCCTCACCAGTAATGTCCATTACAAAAAGACGTTTGCTCTAGAACATTGTTTTTCTAAATTTAATCAATCCAATAGTAAATTTAATTCATTTGGTAGTGAAGTATCTTTGACAAGTTCTTTCTTGAAAAAAAATTACAAGTGTGTGTATAAGAGCATAAATTTTATACAGAGATAAATATTTCAAATAATAATAACTATCTTTTTTGAGAAAAAATTGCTAGAGCTTTTAGTAAAATAATTACTGAACTGGCAAAGCCAGAGGTCACCTCACCATACATTGAAATATTTATAAATAATTACTGCATTACGTAAAAAGGCAAATAAACAGTATAAATGAATGTGATCTTTACATTTTGAAATTTTATCACCATGACATCTTGAAAATGTCAAAACATTTTTTTTCACACTTACTTTCTTATTGAAAGTAACTCTGAAATTTTATTATATCAAATTAATTTTGACAGCAATTGTTACAGGATACCTTATTTTCCTCTCATGATGAGCTGTTAAGTTGGATTGAAGACTTGCCTAAGTCCCACAGACATCTGGATGTAAGAGCCAACACATTCCTTCAGGATTGAAAGTTCACACCATTAGAAAGTTATAACCATGTAATAATAAACAAAATAAAAAATTGAGAAGCGTACATCAAATGTGCGCTGAAGCCTTGTGACTGCCCCATCAAGCAGGCGCTTACGATAATTCTTTTACATGTAGCATAAAGATGATGAAAAGATTGCAGTAAGGTTTGTGGCAGCTTGAATTGGCTGGATATGCATTACAGTCAAGTGTTTTTATTTTTGTACTGGCCTGAAAAGTTCACAAAAATGAAGTACTTTCACTTATTCACTGGGAAAATAATGTTTGGCAATCAAATGCAATCCAACATTGTTTGTGACCAAACATTTTACTGTTTGGACACCTTAGTTTGATACGCCTGGCACTCAGTACAACGTCAACATGTTTGGTCACCAAACAGTGTTTGACTATGTTTGGTCGCCAAACATTTCCCATTTGGACAGGACTTTAGGAGGACATCTTCCAACAGAGGAAAAAGTAAATTGGCTATTTGAGCATGAAATAGCTCTTTTATGACACAGAATTGGTTGGTACATTCTGCAAAGATACACTGTCACTGTGATCAAACTAATCCCAGGTTTTGTTTCATGATCAAATGGCAGACTTTGGTAAAAATGGTCTGAACACAATCAAACATAAAATATTATCAAACTGACTGTGATGGGACTGGAGAGTTTATTTCAATTAATTTGAGCCACAAGTGCTGGATTTCTTAAAACACAATTTTTTCTGGTCAGGAACCTTAGTATTGCTCTCAATATTTGAGAGCAATTAGGTCCCGAGTTTCCAGTAAAAAAGCTGAAAACACAAAGGAACAAAGGGAAGATCACTTGTATCCCTGTGTAAGTCTTAATCCAGTCGCCAACTAGTCTGATAGGAAATGAAAACTAGAGAAGCTTTCAGGCAAATGAATAGCTCCCGGGTCGGGGACTGCCATACAAAAGGGACGGGGTTGCTCGTCATAACTTTTAGGTGTTAAANAGGGAAGAACTTCAACAATGAATTGATACAGTAAGTTTGACTTTTTTCTACATTTTGTCACCTTCAATCAACTCTGATTTTTGTGTTTCCTGCTTCTTTTTATATATGTATGACTACTTGCTTCATTGCTGAGGAAGACACTTTCAATCTTTCAGTCTTCCAATTTTGCAATCTCTTGTTGCCACTTCCAAATGAACAACTACCAGGAAGATGTAAGACAATCCAGAGGAACATACTGAGCACATCAACAAATGCCACAAGCTGATTCACAAGAGATCAGTTACATTCACATTTCACTTGTGGAAAAACACTGAAGATAACAGCAAACTACATGGAACAAGGACTGCAGGAATTCCAGACAAAAACACCAGCTCTAAGTAGAAGCAGGGGAGGAAAAATACTTTGTGCATCAAAGAAAGAAGCCTACATCTGTTCATGTGAGTGAGTAGTAAAGTATAGACCAACCGAGCGAAAATGTACAGACAAGGGATCACTCACGACCTATTCACATCACTCAGGACCTTTTTTAGAGATCTTCAACAACACAGTAATCACCATTACACTCTTTTTTAATCTGATAGCCAAAATGACAACCAAACACAGAAATCATTTCCCATGTTATTAAATTTTCTTACATTTTCACTGTTGCACTTGCAATGTATTTTGTATCATAAATTTGTTCATTGTTTAATTTCCTATTTAAACTTGCAAAGAACATGCCAAGCACATCAACAAACAACATGAGTTTATTCCTAACAAATCAGAGATACAAGCAGTACACAAAAAATTTTCACTTTTCACTCCTGGAAAAATAGAATGGCCCTCACTTTTGAGAGCGATTATGCCATTCTGACCAAAGAACTCGCCCAAGACATTTTCCATGTCCAAGTTAATACATTTTTTTAATATGATGCACAACAAACTGGACTTATAGGAAACTGTCCTCACACACTAGCGTTGCATTGCACATTTTGCTGGTCACCAGCATCTAATGATGCTGCCTTCCAACTTAATTACTGCTCTTTCCATTTTCAAACACACAGGTCATGGTGGTCACGAACTGTATATAACAATACATTAATCCCTGGTACATGTACCTCTCAACCTTGTTGTTCATGTTCATACATGTATTTTAGTACACCGTCGATATTACACGCACCTAATAACAACAAATCTGCACAGGGAATCATGTGGAAATCTATCATCAACAAGCATCTCAAGTGAATTTCCCTGACCAAATGAATATAAAATGTCAGATATAGTAACAGCCTAACAGCCTTTCCTTACAGCCATCCTTTCCGCCGATGCATTTACGACTGATACATTGGCAACAAATTTACCCTCTTCATTAAAGTGAAACTTTTGCGGAGAGTGAACTGACAGTCAACTGAAGTGTTTCTTTCAGCCATCAGTGGCATTAAATCAGCATATGGATGATAATGTCTGACTGCTAAGTCCGCTAAAAGGTCTTCTAGCCAATGAAGCCACTGAGAGGCAGCCATAAGTTCACTCATGCACAAGATCATACTGTCTAGCCACTTTTGGAATCACAAACAGCACCCAAAAGCTCCCTAAATTGAAATTATGTTTGTCATGTGCATTTGGTCTGCACAAATTAACTGAACAATGCAACCCCAAAAATGAATTACAATGCAGCCCATCAAAAGTGAGCTATGAAACCTTCCAGCCTTTCAACCTGACACCAGTTAACACAAACGTTAAGAAAAAGTACAAACAAAGGAGATAATAATTGAACCAAAATCAATAAAGTGAAAATTTATAGACCAGGTGTCACTTCTGAAGGACATTTTTAGAGATCTTCAACCACACATGAAACACCATTAAATACTGTTTTTGAATCTGATCTTGCCACGATGACAACTCAAAACAGAAATCATTTCCCATTAAATACCTCTTACTTTTTTACTGTTGTATTCGAAATGCATATCTGTATAAGTTTGTTCAATGTTTAACTTCCTTTTTAAACATACAAAGCTCATATTAATATATCGAGATTTAAGGGTGTAACACCACAGATTACAGGCAGAGTTTCCTGGCATACTGGTTTCCCGGAAACTGAACATTCAAGTGATACATCTAAGCAAACCTTTCACAATCTGTGGTTTGCTGATGTAAATTAACAAAATTTTAATATTGTTAGTAACTAAAAGGACTGGTTTACAAACTTATTTTTACTAGTAAATCTTGCATGTACTTAACATACATGTATATGTGATTTTGCTTTTTATCGTGCTTCTTAAGCTTTTGTAGTTTCCATTCACACAATTTTACAAGCACAAATTCATTTTAGTTAACTCCAAATTTCCCTGACGTTTTGGTCAAACCAAAACCTACACCACAGAATAACTGTAACTTTAAAAGGCAAAGGGTACTCGAGAAACAAGTGCTACAAAGCATATGCCATGCAGTGCTTCCTCAAAGAAAAAAAGTTTGAAAGGGAAAAAAGAATTAACTCAGATCAGAAAGATATGGATGTTTTGCTTTTAAAAGTAAAATATAATCATTATAGTACATATTTTTTATGCTAAGTGAGGGCCACTTATTTGAGAGTTATACCTATAAAAATCCAATGATCATCCTCACCAGTAATGTCCATTACAAAAAGACGTTTGCTCTAGAACATTGTTTTTCTAAATTTAATCAATCCAATAGTAAATTTAATTCATTTGGTAGTGAAGTATCTTTGACAAGTTCTTTCTTGAAAAAAAATTACAAGTGTGTGTATAAGAGCATAAATTTTATACAGAGATAAATATTTCAAATAATAATAACTATCTTTTTTGAGAAAAAATTGCTAGAGCTTTTAGTAAAATAATTACTGAACTGGCAAAGCCAGAGGTCACCTCACCATACATTGAAATATTTATAAATAATTACTGCATTACGTAAAAAGGCAAATAAACAGTATAAATGAATGTGATCTTTACATTTTGAAATTTTATCACCATGACATCTTGAAAATGTCAAAACATTTTTTTTCACACTTACTTTCTTATTGAAAGTAACTCTGAAATTTTATTATATCAAATTAATTTTGACAGCAATTGTTACAGGATACCTTATTTTCCTCTCATGATGAGCTGTTAAGTTGGATTGAAGACTTGCCTAAGTCCCACAGACATCTGGATGTAAGAGCCAACACATTCCTTCAGGATTGAAAGTTCACACCATTAGAAAGTTATAACCATGTAATAATAAACAAAATAAAAAATTGAGAAGCGTACATCAAATGTGCGCTGAAGCCTTGTGACTGCCCCATCAAGCAGGCGCTTACGATAATTCTTTTACATGTAGCATAAAGATGATGAAAAGATTGCAGTAAGGTTTGTGGCAGCTTGAATTGGCTGGATATGCATTACAGTCAAGTGTTTTTATTTTTGTACTGGCCTGAAAAGTTCACAAAAATGAAGTACTTTCACTTATTCACTGGGAAAATAATGTTTGGCAATCAAATGCAATCCAACATTGTTTGTGACCAAACATTTTACTGTTTGGACACCTTAGTTTGATACGCCTGGCACTCAGTACAACGTCAACATGTTTGGTCACCAAACAGTGTTTGACTATGTTTGGTCGCCAAACATTTCCCATTTGGACAGGACTTTAGGAGGACATCTTCCAACAGAGGAAAAAGTAAATTGGCTATTTGAGCATGAAATAGCTCTTTTATGACACAGAATTGGTTGGTACATTCTGCAAAGATACACTGTCACTGTGATCAAACTAATCCCAGGTTTTGTTTCATGATCAAATGGCAGACTTTGGTAAAAATGGTCTGAACACAATCAAACATAAAATATTATCAAACTGACTGTGATGGGACTGGAGAGTTTATTTCAATTAATTTGAGCCACAAGTGCTGGATTTCTTAAAACACAATTTTTTCTGGTCAGGAACCTTAGTATTGCTCTCAATATTTGAGAGCAATTAGGTCCCGAGTTTCCAGTAAAAAAGCTGAAAACACAAAGGAACAAAGGGAAGATCACTTGTATCCCTGTGTAAGTCTTAATCCAGTCGCCAACTAGTCTGATAGGAAATGAAAACTAGAGAAGCTTTCAGGCAAATGAATAGCTCCCGGGTCGGGGACTGCCATACAAAAGGGACGGGGTTGCTCGTCATAACTTTTAGGTGTTAAAAAAGTAGTTTTGATACTTTTTAGGGTGTTCAGCCTCAAAAGGTACACAGCAAGAGCTTTTCTTGATACCTTTTAGAGTATTGAGCCGAGAAAATATCACAAGAGATTTAATTGTTGTTTAAGAATTGGTACTTCTAAAGGGTGAAAAAAATTTCAAGCCACACCCACAAACTAGGATCTCGGTACCTCTTAGGAGTTCTTTTCAAAATTTCCGACGAGGACCCCCGTCCTTTCTATATTTCCCCGCCAGGAAATAACTGTCGGTAAGAATTAAGTTTATGCTTCCATCAAACTCACCATGATCCCAAGTTTCATCTCGTCCGTTGAATGTTGCAGCCAAACTTGTAAATTGTGATAATTCAGCTCCAGCAAAGGAACGAATAAATTGTATGCTGTAACAACGAAAAACAAACAAAATGAAGACGCTAAACTTTTACTCAAGAAAAGTGAAGCACTGAACACGACATAACATTAAATAAACCCAATTAGGTTGTGGCTCGTACACCAAGAACAGAACAAGCGACTTATTTACAGCTTTTATCAAAAAGAAATCAAAACTCACCATTTCAAAACCAAGCTGTTTATCCGACTAACCGCCAGTAATTCGCGCGCGAAGCCAAATTATATCAAACGGTATATCCCAGCAGTTAAAACCAACACGGCAAAGAAGAGATTCGTTTCCGAGAAGGAACTGCACCAAGCTACGCTCCGCAACTTGCCAACGGAAGGCAGGAATGAACAGTGCCTGCGACGCACAGGGTGCTTTGTGTAACACAACACAAAGGAAGCCGCATTGTGGAAATCTCAACCAATTGCTTGTCGTCCTCTGAATGAGAGCGTAATTAAACATAGGCGACCGAAATTCAAAGCAAGTAACCATGAGCAACCACGCATTTTTGTGTGCGTGAAAGGTTATGTGATATACATTTTTTTTTCCTCGCACGGCACTGTTATTTGAGAGTTTTGGCAGGTACAAAAGATCGAGGCAAGCGATTAAGAGGAAGGCGTGGATTTTTTTCGGTATGTTTTAAGACACCCTGTTGTTGTTCACCGAGAAAACGAGAAACATTGCATAAGGGTGGAGTTTTCGAAGCAATCAATCCACAGTGAATAATGACTTTTCTAAGGGAATTGTTACACAGAGCAATTTCACTGTAATGAACACGAGCGAATTTTGCTTCCATGAGCAATAAATCTGTCAATCACGGTAACGTAAGTGCGAACCCGCCCAGTTTCAAAAACTTGCCAATTATTATTGTTATTTTAAAAATGCTACGACCACTTTGATGGTGTAGCCATGGGTTCACCTCTCGGCCCTGTCTTCGCTTTGGAAGAGATATGTTGATGACTCATTCACATTGTTTGATAGGCATTCAGATTGTTTGATAGGCACTGCTAATGAGTTTTGCATCTGATTATATAAAGAGTAAACAGGATAGCACCAAATTCATCGTTCAATTTGAACAAGACAGTAAGGTTTCGTTTCGTCTTCGACATCCTTGTCATAGGCTACCCCGACAACATTTTCATCCGTTTACCGGAAGAGACAGAAGAAGACATTCACGGGCCACTACGCTTAATGGGATATTCACACTTCACATGTGCAAAATCAGCTAAAATCAATCTAATCCGCACGGTCACCTGTCATTGCTTCCGAATTCGCTCATTACAAGGACAAAGAGACCATGACCATTTCGCCTCTTGTTATTACCATAATATTGTTGCGAAAGCTCAGCTGCTGCAGCATGGTCACCCTCAAAGTGTTGTCGCTTTCGACTTTAACGATGTTAACCCTGTTCCTAGTTCTGTTCCCAAAAACGATGTCACAATTCTGTTACCGTACCAAGGTCTTCGCAGCAACCAAATAACTAAACGTCTGAAATCTTGTGTCCATACAACTCTTAGCCTCTTCCAGCCAAGTTCCTCTCTATTTTACGTTACGTTCCCGGTTTTTCGCGCTGCGCCCCAACTAAATGAACGTCTGGAAGAGGCCACAACTGTTACTCTTTCGTAAAGCTCAAGAATATTCCAGAACACACGCCGTATCAATTTGAATTCTTAGCAAGCAGTTAGTGTCTCTTGTCTTAACCTATTGTGACTCTAGAACTTCATTTCGGCCTTTTCACAATGACTTTTGCAAGTAAAGCGAAATCTAACAAACGAGTTAATTAGTCACGTTTTGTCTTGAATTCTCCGCTGAAAACGTCGCCACGATGACAATACTAAATCATGGGATTTGTGGAGTAAAAAAAACCTCCCAGTTGAAGGAGAAATTGAAGGTCTTGGGTACTAAACGTGTTGCGGTTCGAGAGACTTTCTTATTAGGATTTTTCATTGATTCAATCCAAACCGTAGCTTGGCGTGTTTAAACGTGCTAGTTGTTTCAAAGCTCCCTTAACGTAATGATAGTTTTTCTTCAGACAATTTCCGTAATTTCTATTCTCTTGGTATTGTTCTTACTGTTGTTGTTGTTGTTGTTGTTGTTGTTGTTGTTGTTGTTGTTGTTGTAAGAGTATTTCAATAAAGCTTTTACCAAACCATCACTCCCCCTTTGGTTTACTTTCATTCCTTCTTTATGTTTTCAACCAATTATGGGCAGTTTTCAGAAATCTCGGGAGCATAACTACCAATCCTTATGCAAGTGAATATATGAAAGATCTTATACTTAAATTGCGGAGATGAAGACATGATTGATCATCGCAGTTATACACACAACTTAAGCAGTTGTGAAATTAAAGCCCAAAAAAATTCAGGCCTGAACGGGATTAGAACCCATGACCTCTGCGGTCCTCTGCGATACCTACCAACTGAGCTATCAAGTCAACTGAGAGCTTGTCACGTTGTGAGTTTGTAATATACCCGTAGATGATAAAGAATGCAAGTGAATATATGAAATATCATATATTTGAACTGCGGAGAACGATATGAAGACATGATTGATCATCCCAATTGTACACAACTGAAGTAAGCTTTCGGGCTTTAATTCACAACTTAAGCCGAGGCTTTGAGGCTTTCGGGCTTTAATTTCACAACTGCTTAAGTTGTGTATAACAGCGATGATCAATTATGTCTTCATACCAATCTTCTTATTTCCGAAATGTAGTTCGTCTACGGAAACGACTTACGACCACGACCGAGCTCCTCTTCTAGCTTCCTCGCCAGTCCAAAAAGTACTTCACAAGGGT